AGAGCCATCATAGGGACCCCAGAGCCCCTATAGAGACCCCAGAGCCATCATAGGGACCCCAGAGCCCCTATAGAGACCCCAGAGCCATCATAGGGACCCCAGAGCCATCATAGGTACCCTAGGCCCCTTAATAGAGACCCCATATCCATCATATGGACCCCCAGATCCATCATAGTGACCCCATAGCCCCTATAGAGACCCATATCCCGATCATATGTACCCCAGAATTCCTATAATAGGTACCTCTACCATATCCCTTATATACCCATAGCCATAATATGTACCCCAGTCCCCTATAGAACCCCAGAGCCATCATAGGGACCCCAGAGTCCCTATAGGGACCCCAGAGCCACTATAGAGACCCCAGAGCCATCATAGGGACCCCAGAGCCATCATAGGGACCCCAGAGCCACTATAGAGACCTCCGAGCCATTACAGGGACCCCAGAGCCATCATAGGGACCCCAGAGCCCCTATAGAGACCTCCGAGCCATTACAGGGACCCCAGAGCCATCATAGGGACCCCAGAGGCCCTACAGAGACCCCATTGCCATCATAGGGACCCCAGAGCCACTATAGAGACCCCAGAGCCATCATAGGGACCCCAGAGCCCCTATAGAGACCCCAGAGCCATCATAGGAACCCCAGACCCCTATAGAGACCCCAGAGCCATCATAGGGACCCCAGAGTCCCTATAGGGACCCCAGAGCCATTACAGGGACCCCAGAGCCCCTACAGAGACCCCAGAGCCATTATAGGGACCCCAGGCCCCTCCAGAGCCCCTTGCTGGGTCCCAGCAGCTCTTCTCCCCCCCAAACCCACCTTTCTGGCTGCAGCTGCTTCTCTTCTCTGGCTCCCCCTTCCTTCCCCAGGGAGGTTTGCCCTGTTCTTTGGCCAGGCTCCAGCTGCAGCTCAAGGGCAAAGCTGAAACTACAATTCCCCCTTTGGGTTTTCACTGGAAAAACAAAGGTTTGGGACAAACTCTGCCCAGGCACTCGCTGAAAAATAAAAGCTTGACACGATCCCAGTATGGGGGAACTGGAATAATTTATTGAACACGAGAACACTATTTTAAAGGCATCTGGGGCTGGACATATTAATGAAGAGGACGAGCTATGTTAATTAGGGAATTACTCAAGTTTTTACTACCGTTGCCCAATGGGTTAAATATTTCCCTCAACCAAGATGACACAGGGGGAAAGGGATTAAATGGGTTTAGACATGGTCTGATCCAATCATCTCAAGAGTCCTTTCTGATTTCTGCTGGAGCCAGGCTTAATCCATAAGGTAGAACTTTAACAGGTCTTGTGAGAAGGGTCCAGCTCCTTCAGATCACGAGGTTTTTGTCAGCCTTGTTTTCTTTTGCTGAAAGCTGGGTTTGGGCTCACACAACTGCCCTCTTTTTTTATTTTTCTAAAAAACAAAAAACTCGGAAAAAACTTTGATCAAACGTTTGCTAATGCAAGATAAAATACAAAGGAATACAAATATTACCATAAATGTTTTCTTTAACTAGAGTATTAAATTTATAATGCTAACTAAACATGTAAACTAAACTTTGATTACTATTTTTTTTTCTTCAACTTATCAATGCTTTGATGTATCGGTTCAGAGTGAGGTAATAACAAATTCTATAGCTGCATTTTAGAAGCAAATGGATTCTTAAATGGATCTAACAAGAAATATTGCAGTCTTACTTTTAATACCACAAGTGAAATTAATGTTAGCAAGGAGGCTCCTTTTTCAAGGCAATGTACAGCCTTTTATATACCTGAAATGGAAAGTATGATTATGCAAAGGCATTGTGTGTCAGAATAGTTTGGGCCACAAGGTTTGGCATTATAAAGGCATGTGAAGGAATCATAGCTGTTTTAAGGCATTCTGCATATTGCTACGAAAACTTAGCACTAACATTAAAAGCATTAAACCAGTCAGAAAGACTATCAGACATTTTTGGATATAGAAAAGTAAACAAGGAACAAAATGCAAGAAGGAAAAATTCCCACAATGCTAAACTAAATAACTCTGGATTAATATAAAACTTGTTTAAACAACTTAACTTATTTCCATTATTTCTTATTAGAAATTACTCTTATAAAATCTTAAGCTATCCTCTAAAGATCCTATTGACTTATAAGCAATTGATTTTGAACCAAACTTAATAACTTGATGACTTCAGGGTTCGTGTGCTCCTGACTTTTACCTGAAAGTTTTTTAGTGTTTGTTTTTGAAAACTTTTATTTAACTTAAAACATCTCTGTAAATGAAATTCTATTCAACTTGGGGTGATATGTTTTCTGTTTTTTATCTAAGGGTGTTTGTGCATGTGTGAGGTAATGTGCATTTGTGTATAAATCAGGACATATTAATTATTATATATTCACACGCATGCATACATTTACACATTCATACTCTATGGCCATCGAACACACAACATACAAACATACCTTTGGGTTTCATTTTACAGCGTCTTTTGGTTATGAACTGAGAAATTGGCGGTTTTTGTTTCTCACCCTTAGATTAGTAATATATGTTTTCTGTTTTTTATGATAACCTGTAAAAACATAAGCATATCTTACTTCATGTTCAATTTAAATTTCAAATACATATAAACATTCCTATAGTTCAAGGATAAAATATATACTTCTATTTTTAAGGCAAATATATGTCTTTCTGTGTTAATTTAGCTTTTGGACTTAAGGAAAATTGTTATTGTGAAAACTTTAAAATTTTCAAAAATACAGCTATGCATACATTTAAAAACAATTCTGGCTATTATGGAAGGGTGTCTTCATTCAGCAACGGTTCTTTGCTTTCCTCGCTTTCCCCCCCCCCTTTTTTTTCTTTTCTTTTTTTTTGTTTGTTCGTTTGCGGGGGGGGGACAATCTCTCCATTGGTAGCGTTTTGTTCGCCTTACACTGTGAAGCTGAAACAGGTTGATAAACAAAAGGGTTTGCAAAAAAAGACCAGTTCTTAGTTTAGGCTGCAAAGAAAAAGGAAAAAGATCAAGGAAGGGGGTTTTTGCTGCTTTGACTACTGCTGAAGTCGGCAGCTCTGTGTCCGCCCCACTCCGTTTGTCTCCGGGGTCCCTGTTCCTGGGTTTCTTTCGTGCTGTTGCCGCCGGGCTTCCGCTCGCTCCCTCCTTCGCCGCTGGTCCCGCTCGGGCTCTTTCCTCCCTCGGCCCTTTCCCGGAGCCCCCCGGGGATTCTGTGGGATCCTCTCCGCCGCCCACGCTCCATAGCCCCGGTTTTTGCACACCTCGTGCGCTGCTTGCGTTTGTTTTTCGCGGTGCCTCTGTCGTTTGTGTGTTTCGGGGTTCCGGGTCCTTCCTGCCTTCTGAGTGGTTCCCGCTCGGGTCCCGCTGCTGCTTCCCTCGGCGCGGGTCTCTCGATCTCGTTGTTTGCTGGGGCGCCGGAGGTGGCGGCCCTTCCTCAGGGACCTGCTCAGGGTGTTGACCTCGCGCCTCTGGCCGCTGTTTGGGCCCTCGCCGGCAACAAGTCTACTCGCCGCTAAAGCCAGCTCCGGAGCTCCGGCTCTGTCCCCGCGCCGGCAACAGGTCTACCCGCCGCTAAGGCCAGCTCCGGAGCTCCGGCTCTAAGTCCCCCCGCCGACAACAGGTCTACCCGCCGCTAAAGCCAGCTCCGGAGCTCCGGCTCTAAGTCCCCCCGCCGACAACAGGTCTACCCGCCGCTAAAGCCAGCTCCGGAGCTCCGGCTCTAAGTCCCCCCGCCGACAACAGGTCTACCCGCCGCCGGGGCCCCGCGCGCGGCACCTTCCCCGCCCAGGCGCCGCCCCGTCCGCCCGGGGCCGCCGACGCCGGCAGTTAGTTTTACCTTACTGATGATGTGTGGTTGCAATAGTAATCCTGCTCAGTACGAGAGGAACCGCAGGTTCAGACCCCTGGTGCGTGCGCTTGGCTGAGGAGCCACTGGCGCGAGGCTACCATCTGCGGGCTTATGACTGAACGCCTCTAAGTCAGAATCCCGCCTAGACGTAGCGATACCGCAGCGCCGCCGGCGCCTCGGTGGGCTCGCGATAGCCGGCCGCCCGCCCCCCGGGGCGGGCCCGGTGCGGAGCGCCGCTCGTGGTCGGGAGCGGAGGGGCGGACGGACGCGGCGCCGCCTCTCCCCCGTCGCGTACCGCATGATCGTGGGGCACCCGGCGCTAAATCATTCGTAGACGACCTGATTCTGGGTCAGGGTTTCGTACGTAGCAGAGCAGCTCCCTCGCTGCGATCTATTGAGAATCAGCCCTCGACACAAGCTTTTGTCCACCGATCGCTCGCTGACAGACGGCGGGTCGGGTGCTGACAGGGGGCCCCGGCGCCGCGCTCGGCCCAGCTTCCCTCCGCGCGGGTCCAAGGCCCGAGACGCGGGGTCCCGGGGGCCGGGCCTAAGGGCGAGAGAGAGAAGGGGGACGCGCGCGCTTGGGACGCCGGCGGCGGCCCGTCCTTCCCTCCGTGCGGGTCCCGGGCCCGGTACGCGGGGCGGGGGCTCGGGGGCGCTCCGGTGCTGAGGGGCGGCAGCAAAGGGGGCCCCTCGCCGCAGAGCGGAGGGGCCCCGCTGCCGACATCTCCCCGCTAGGGGTTAGACCTGGTGACCCCCCGGCACAGCAGGAAGCGGCCGAGCCTCGGCGCCCCCGGGCGCGCCTGGGCGGTGCGGGCTGGAGGCGGTTCCGTCCCCACCCCCGCGAGCGCGGGTGTGGCGCCGAGGGTTGGCTCTCCCCGTTGCCGGGTGAGGGGGGTAGACCTGCTGCCGGCGAGCGGACTTGGAGCCTGAGCGCTGCGGCTGGCCCCGGCCGCGGGGAGACCTGAACTGGAATATTATTCCTGACTTGTGTGCTGCCAAGTTGTTCTGGCAGCAGTGTTAAAGGTAAAGGCTAGAGCTAAGCCCTGGCTTCAGGATGTGAAGGAAATACGTGATGCTGGGTGCAAGGTGTCTGCAATTGTGCTTGGTTTTGCCTCCTGGGATGGGGCAGACATGTCACTAAAGGGGGAAAGAAGACAATGGAAAACTATAGAACAAAATACTTTGGATTTTTCAAATGTCTCATATTTCAAAATTAGACACACATATACCCCCATACACATCCAAAGAATATTTAAGGCATATGACACCTTTCAACCATTTGAAAGTAGGATAATCTTGTTTCCAAAAAAGAAAAAGCCTGGAAATGGAAATCCAGACAGAAAGCTCTCTCTTCTCTTCCCTTTTCCCCTCTCGTGCTGAAGAAGTTCTGCCTTGAAGAGAGGTGTTTATACCTCTGGAAATCTTAGAAATTATCAGTCCTGTGCAGCCATTCAGCTCACAACAGATGTTGTCTGAGAGAAGACAGAACTTTGGCATCTATTTTACTGACTTCTAAGTCCCCCTTTCTATGAACAGATGAATCTAAGAACCAGGTACAGGATAACGAGACCAGCCTCGGATGGCAGACCAGAAAAAAGGAAGTTCCATTCCCATTCATGCTACAGTTTTGATCCTGCATTCATAGGAGCTACTGCTGTCTTGGAATTCTTTCCTTTCCCCCCCCCCAAAAAAAAAATCAGCTGGCCTTTCAGTTACCAACAGTGGTGTCTCCTTTCTTGTTACAACACTCTACATCATCTCTCTTTCAGCGAGCCATGGCCATGCCAACTCTGGCTCTGTTTGGTGGCTCTGGTTTGAACTCTGATCTGGTGTGACTCCCTTTTGCTTTCCAGCCTGTGACATGGATCCCAGTGCTGTTCCATTGGGCACTTGAAGAAGAGATGGCTCTGTGAAGTTCTGTCCTTCTGCTGTGCTAAAAAATGGCATTTGGGAGTGCAGCTGATTTGAGAACTGAGCTTCCTGCATGTAGAAATCACTCCAAGGGACAGCCTGATAGGCAGTGGTGTCTGCTGAGGGAAAAGCAACAAAGGAAAGACAGAATACTGAAAATAACAGCAGCATGTCTATGCTCAGTGCAAACAGCATTGCAGCCATGCTCTGGTGGTCACTGCAGTAGAGCAGACACCACATATAGATAAAGGATCACTTTGCTGTTTACACTGCAGTGTTTTTATCCAAAAGGTAAGTTCTTAGGAGGAAAAATCTTGGAAATTCATAGCATTGTTATAATGTAAAAAGAAATCACGATGTCACTCAGCACTGATCCTGAGAGTATGTAACAATATTAGAGACACCCACCCCCCAATTTTTTTTCTCCACTCCTATTTTCCAAGAGGTTCCAACTCTGTCAAGCATAACCTGAATGTTTAATCTTCACTTTCATTTATGGAAGCTGGAAGCAGGAATGTATTGTTAAGTAATAGCTATAATCCAACTAAGCTGTTCACTTGCTTACTCGGTGAAGTAAGACTCACGGGTGTGTCTGCACTGACAGACTGGTTCCCTGCCCACTGCACTTTGGGAACCTGGAACCTTTTTAGGAAGAAATTCTTCCCTGTGAGAGTAGTGAGGCAGGTTGCCCAGAGAAGCTGTGGCTGCCCCATCCCTGGAAGTGTCCAAGGCCAGGTTGGATGGGGCTCTGAGCAACCTGGGATAGTGGAAGGTGTTCCTGCCCATGGCAGGGGGTTGGAACTGGATGATCCTTAAAGTCCCTTCCTACCCAAACCATTCTATGATTCTGTGAACTTGGTCATAACAGTTGTAGGATCCCCTCCTCGAACAGAACAGCCACGCACTGCTGATTGTGCTCTGGACAGAGTAAGAGAATATCAACTCTGCCTCTGTTCCTTCAACAATCTTTCAACTTTATCAGCCTGCACCTTTACACACCCCTTATGCTCACACAATGTGCCCCAAAGAATGCAACACACACTTTGGCATCACGCTATAAAAATGTTAATTTGGTGCACTGGGGCACAGCCCTCTCATTATTTCTGGCACTTCAGACTGAAAAACCACTGAGAAGAATAATTATGCCTTGAAACCAGAGAGGGGAGACAGGCCAAGTGTGGTAGATAGCACAGGTGCCGCCAACCTGGCCTGGACAATGTCAGCAGGAATAATGGGAACAAGAGCCAGTTTGCAGCCTGCTGTGAGTCAGACTCTGAGTCAGACTTCCCTCCCTAACAAGGTCCACAAGACTGGTACAAAACCAGCAGCAGCATCTGTGGTCTGAAACTATTCTCTTATGTGATAAGACAAGATATGTAGTTTTTGGACTGTGAGCTTAATTCAACAAACCTGACACTCCAAATAAACTAACTGCAATGGTTTATCATTTGATTATACTTGGGCTTGAATAACTTCAAAATACAAAGCCTGGACACAAAACAAGGAGACCAACAGTGCCAGTTTCACCTAGTTACTTTTCAGAAAATTATGCAGAAGGGCCTTAATCTGTTGCAAATTCAAACCAGAGGAAGAAAAAGAAAGACTCTATATGCATACTCTACTGGCTTCTGTCTCTCTCTTCTTTTGCACTACCCCAAGATATGAAACTTCAAACCGGTTTCTGCAGAAGCCCAACAGAGTGAGAAGCCTGTTTTTCTTTCTACCTCCAACTATTCCACTTGCTGTGGCACCTTTTCCATTTTGCACCCTTGATTCCCACCCACATATACCAAAGGCATGTTCACTTGCACAACAGTACACTCCTGCAAAAGTTAGTTCTCCAGTCCAGAGAAAAACTACTGCACTACCTGACACATTCACATTTAATGCTCTTTCTGACATGTGCAACCTGTGTAGTAACTTCAAATGAATGGGTCACTCAGCACTTTAAAAAAAAAAACAAGCATACAAGGAAATTAGAAAAAAAGATGGGCCCATATATATATACACACACACACACACACACATACATATATATCTATATATCTGTGCATGCATGTGCACGTTTCTACTTTCTGTCACAGCCACCAGTAAAACCACTGATCATCCTGAGTGTTTCAGGGTATGGTTTAGTTACTCCAGAGATGCAGGATGACAAAATATTTCAGAAATTTACCTGAGATTCCACTTGACTGCTGCGGCACAAGCTGTCCCTCCATGTGGTTTTGTCCATAGCCTTGTGTGGCTCCATAGGTTACTGCTCCAGTGTTACCAGGTAAGGCCAGGAAAGCTGAATGGGACTCAGGGGGTGTTGGAGGAGGGAGTTGGTCACTGGAGAGCAAACTGGTGGCCAAGTCATCTGGCAGTTGGCAGAACTGGGAGAGCTGGTGCTGCTGGGAATATTGGGACAGCTGGTAAATTCCCCCCTGGCTGCTGGACTGGCAGTACGTGGTCTCCAGGTTCCCTGCAGTCTCCAGCTGCTCAGGGTAATGGCAGGAGGGTGGTGGACTAAAGCTGCAGAGAGCAAGGAGAGGCAATCCAGAGATTAAAGTAGGGTCAACAGCTACAGCAACCCATCCAGTAAACAACTGTGTTATTGCCAACCCTGATCTGACTCCAACCCCTCCTCCCAGATGCCAGGACAAGGGCAACAGAAACCACTTGAGCCAAGTGGTATCACAGCAGGATTCTTCACCAATGGGCATTATCTTCCCACTCTCCAAAGCACACCCCAAAGTTTGAAACATCCTCTCTTTTGCTTGACAGGTATGCAATTCTGGAAGCATTCTGACCAGAGGTATCACTTGTCTCACAGCAGGTGCCCTGTCCCACTATGCACATCATGCAGCTTTTCACGCTTCATTTAAAAGATACTGTCACTCCTGCACCTCTCTTTTCACTTATGCTCCCACCTAATTCCTTGTCCCATGTCCCACATTCACCCTCGCAGGGCTTCTCCCAGGCTTTGCTTTTTCCATTTCCCTTCTCATCTTTCCTACCCTTGATTCTGGATGTTGTAAGTGAAGGCCTCCCTGGAGCCATTTTCCTGACTGGACAACCAGCATTCACTGTTGGGAGTGTCCAGCGCCATGGAAACAGCAGGGCTGTGGGGGTTGAAGGACAGGTTGGTGGCCCTGCGGACGGGAGGAGGGCCGGGAAGGCTCGGGAAGCACTCCACTCTGCTGGAGTTGAAGCTGTCCACTCTGCTGGAGTTGAAGCTGTCCACTCTGCTGGAGTTGAAGCTGTCCACTCTGCTGGAGTTGAAGCTGTCCACTCTGCTGGAGTTGAAGCTGTCCACTCTGCTGGAGTTGAAGCTGTCCACTCTGCTGGAGTTGAAGCTGTCCACTCTGCTGGAGTTGAAGCTGTCCACTCTGCTGGAGTTGAAGCTGTCCACTCTGCTGGAGTTGAAGCTGTCCACTCTGTTGGAGTTGAAGCTGTCCACTCTGTTGGAGTTGAAGCTGTCCACTCTGTTGGAGTTGAAGCTGTCCACTCTGTTGGAGTTGAAGCTGTCCACTCTGCTGGAGTTGAAGCTGTCCACTCTGCTGCAGTTGAAGCCGAGCTGTAGCGACATCTTTGCCTGAACTTCTTCACAAGATGCCACTGTTCCTGCCACGGAGGAGGCTGTGAATGAAAAGAGAGACTGTCACACCGGGCTGTCATAGCAGGAATGAACAGGAGCAAGCAGAGGGAAGGAGGAACAGAACAGAAAAGCAAGAAGCCAGACATTAACTGGTGGGAATAAAATTGAGCAAGTACCGGCATTGCTGTAGAGAAGCACAAGGAAGTACTAGCAAGTTCTCTGGAGCACAGGATGGTGTTTATTGGCTAAATAAAATTACCTTCATGATTTCAGCCTCTGCATATTATATTTATTCAGCTCTCAAGAAGGCAGCCAAGTGAAGCAAAGTACTTCCTGGAAAAAAGCCAGGAATTATCCCCCAGTCATCTTCCATCACTACTGTCCTCTGGGAGGAGTGTGCTGCACTCAACTCAAAAAGATTACCCTTTTGAAAAATTTAACTGTGGCTTGAAAGAAACAAAAACGTGCACGTGCACATCCACATCCTCAGTCATTGTTTTGACCATATTTTCACTCAGATGAGTCGTGCCAGAAACAAAAATTAAAAGAGCAGAGATGTCAGCTGAAGATCTTCTGGAAAAAGAAGCTGGGACACAGAAAAAGAAACCAACACCTTTTGGTTCCTAGAATCTTGTTTGGTGACCTCTCTCCTCAGTCACTGCTGGAAAATGAGAGAGGAAGAGTTTCTTACAGAAGAGCCTCTGTGGAAACAGGACAATAGAGGACATTAAAGGTCAGAATCACATATGCTGGTGATCCAGAGTAACAACTATACGCAGAAGTTCAAGGAGCTTGCACATGGGGCAAGAGAACCAGATTTTCTTTCATTATGGCAATTAGCAAATGATTTCTCTCTTCACAAGTTTAAATGATTTTTTGAGTCTAGCTGGGCTGAACCAGCCAACTGTTCAGGTAAAGCTGGTCTACTCCCACTCCTAGGAAAGCTTTATGGAGAGTTTACAGTTGTACTTCACCCTTGCAGGCATACAGGGTGCAAGGTATGTACCTGGTATGCAATGCACTCCACCAGGTACGAATGAAAGGCCTCAAGCATCAAACCTAAAGATGCCACAGCAAGCATTAGCAACCTTCGGAGAATTTTGGAATGCAAGCCCAGAGAGCTGATGAGGAGATTCCACTTCAACACCTCATAGCACTGTTTCTCAGATTCCCCATCACACTGTGCATTTCTGTCTCTCTTATTGCATCTTCCCACATGCAGTTTTTACCAACTCTCTGCAACCATGGAGAGAGGGAATCATGGTGTTTCAATGAAAACTTTTCAAGTTTCAATAACCTTGATTTTGGGCTCATTTAGAAAACCGGAGCAAGAGCTAGGATGGCATCTCTCAAGCATTCACATGCCCATGCAATTCTCAGCGGTTTATTTTTTCTGTTTGAACATACTATTTATCCATGTCAGGCAGCATCTGTGATATACCTGTCCCACTCCCGGTGTTTGACATAGCACAGATCTACTCCCACACAACAAAGCACAAGGAAGCCAATATTTAGTGTCCTCAAAATCAAAATGGCTTAGCCAGAAATGAAACTGAAGATCTCTCCTGATTTTTTTTTTAAAACCTTCATTTGCACAGGTTCTCCTAACCATCGTGTCCCAGAATGTTCACACAAACATTATGAAACATACCTACCTGAAAACCAGTCTACATCCAGGTAAAGCTTCAGTTCAGTAATGACATTAGGGTGAGCTGTTCTGCAGATGGCACTAGTCTTCCTCAGGATGAATACAAGCAGCCCAGGAAGTCACTTCTAATCCCACTTTCACATCTACTAAAAATTAAGTTGTTTTTTGAAATATTTGCAATACTTAGGTGTAGATAATCTTTGTGGGTCATGGCACTAGGACCCCCAGGCAAAGAGATTGTGAAGGGACACCCATGGCCTCCAAAGAGCTGGTTTAGCCTTTTCTCAAGACTCCTCTGCTTCTCAGTCCTTTCAAAGACAGATGGCTTTATTCAGATGCCTTCTGAATAAAGTCACAAATGCAGTGGGAATAAACAATTCCCAGAGAAGCAATATCTGCTAAATCTGACATATTTACAGAAGATTCCAGAATTGTTTGATGGAGAATTCTGATCACTGGCTTGAGATAATACCTACATTTTACTATTCTGTTGCTTTTCCTGACACTGATATAGAGATAAATAACCTCAGAAGGCTTTCCAGTGAACACGGGAATGTAACAGCAGAATTTTTGTTTATCACTTCCATTATTTCTGGATTTTCAGTCCATGAGACAGCCTTGGGAATTTTTGGAGAGCAATTTAATAATTTGCAGCTTCAGATCTCTGAACCAGCCCTGGTTAAGACATGTGCCTTAACTCAAGAATGTCTGTTCTAAGTCTCCACCCACACAGCTGCCTTACCCCTACTATAGCTGCTTCCTCAACATCCTGGCAGAGTTCAGAGATCCATTCTTTAGTGCAAACAGCTTCCAATGAGTGGGACAGAGTCTTAAAGTAACAGAAAGGGATGTGTGTTTTTCTGCTGGCATGACTGGGATGTCTGTCTTTCACGAGTCGTGAAGGAGACTGAGGCTTGTCCTAGAGATGTATCCGTGAACTTACAGCAGGGCCTGGTTTCACAAGCCTGTGTCACACACTGATGTCACAAACAGTTTCTTTTAATGCTGAGTAATTACAGCCTTTCGTGCAAATGACATCTTGAAAGTAGAAAAAAAATATTACTCAAACTTAGGAGCAATGGCCTCTTCATTTAATTGGAGTGATGGTCAATGAACCAATTCAGTTTCCAACTGCATTGCTTTGAGAAGCCTGTCAGTCTGATCCTCTTCTGGATTTTCAGTAGGCCAGAACCTACCACTTGTTCAAAAGATATGATTCCTGCTTGCCATGTCAGCTACACATCATCAGCTTTAAAGTAATTTGTTCAAAAGCCAGAATCCTGTGAGTGAAATAAAAATATGGGGGTTTTTATAAATAGACGTATCGTGAAGTTGTGAGATATCCAAGTTCCAAGAGCTGAACTTGGGTATCAGGGTCTCTTTCGGCAGGATAAGGGAAATGAGAAAATTCTTAAAAATTCAATCTTTTAGGGCCATTTTGTACACGAGGTTCCTTTTCTCTTTGGGCTAAGAACAAAGGAAGATCCATCACCTTTGACAGGGGATGGCTTGCAGCCAACTGGGAAAAAGGGAAAGCCCCTTTTCAGAGAAAAGAAACCTTTTTAGGTGAAGATGAATACATTAAAACTTATCTGAAAAGGGTGGGATTTTGCGAAACTATAAAATGTATGGAATTTAAACCGAAGGTGTCTTTTTCCCTGGAAACTCGGTGCGAGAAAGACCCAATGTGTTGAATAAATTCTTCCTTGTTTCTTTGTTCCCTAAGTTTATGCCGTCTTTCTAAATTTAAAGAGAGGGATATTTCCCACAAAATCATTAGAGCTTGTCGTTCACTCTTCTCTGACAGATCATATCCAGCTTCATCCAATTGCTCTCAAGACTTCCACAGCCATTCCACCTCTGACAGTTATCTGCACAGATTGGGCTCCTGACAGGTGTCCTCACAATACAGCCACATGAAACAAAGGATTTCCTGCAAAATCACCAGTGGGGCAGAAAAATCTCCTCCCACAAAAAAGTTCCAGAGGAACTTTTCTTTCTAAAGGGTTAACTCAAAAAAAATCATAAGCCAATGCTTTAAGTCAATGAATCACAGATATATTTATACCAGTAAGGAATCTCAGGAAAACAAGAACAACTTTAAAGAACTGCCAGTGTCAAAAAAATCTATTAATCTCAAGCATGCTGTCCAGCAAAAGTAGTAAAAAACAATTCTGAGACCAAAGTAAGTTCAAAATGGAAGTTTTGAGGCGCAAAAGGCTCTCACAGCAAGCAGTGTGCCCAATACCCAAATCAGAAGCCATAACTGCCATCAAGGTAAGATACATCTCAAATACAACGCGCTGACATTTTTAATCAGCTTGTTTGGCAAACTGGAAAAAACAGTGGGACATTAGAAAAAAAAAGAACCCACAAATCAACAGTCAGAAGTACTGGCCAGAGCAAAGAAAAACAGTGGAAAAGGCAGCACAGAACACTCTCCAAAGGTCTCAGGTAATAGATTATACTGTCCTCATCATTTTCTTGTCCTGCTGAAAGTGGTTAAATACACTGGTACCAAGGAAAGCACCTGAACAGCCACTCCAGCAGGCCAAAATCTATGGGCACAACTGCACCAGAATGCACAGGTCACAAATTATTTTGCTGAAATCTAACATTACTAAGCAATTGGTTTTGCCTTGTAAACTGATAGCTTTTTTTCTAATTTGTTTCCTCTTTTATTTTGCTTCAGCTAGTTTGGATTTTATCCTATTCAAGTTTTGCCTCCTTCATGTTCTGAGATATTCTAATAAAGCTAACAGGTGGACCCTGGATGGCTCTATTTCTTGGCAAGTTTTTTTTTATGAATGAATTCAGGTCACATTGTCTTCCATTTTCCCTGTTTCAGTTTTTGCTTTCTTAAAGAGAAAAGTCTGCCTATGCAATGCTAGATAACAAGCAAACAAACAAAAAGCAAATTTTATTGTTTTATTCCCCATAGCTGTTACCCTGCATCTAGTTAAGGCAAAACTGCAACTGCAGCTTTCCATGCCATTGTGCCCTGCAGATCTCTCTTCTATGAGGACTCTTTACACCAAATATCAGTCTTCTTCCTCAAAGAGTGCACCAACTTAGGTCTCTACTCTGCCCAGGCACCAGTTCTCCCATGACTTGTAGGAATGTAATTTTTAGGACTTCTAACTTCCATCTGATTAGAGTAGAACAAATTTGGAGGGCAGGGTGGGTTTCATAAATAAAGAGGGCAGCATGTGGCTCATTACACAAACCTTATTCCTCCCTTCCCTCAGGCAACCGGGTCCAAAACCACTCACCAAACCTCACAGTTTGTGTGCACTACCAAAGCAAGCCTCTTTTCTGAACAGTGACTTAAAAAAGGTACTTTTTTTAATCCCCTCAAACAGATCTGTATCTGGAAAGTATTTACCAGCCTTAGCTGACACAAATAGATTTCATTACTTCTTGCCCAGCCTGATTTAAAGAGAACAAGGGGAGGCTTGTTCCCTCACACAGATCTAGTGGAACGAAGTAAAGTCTCGTTTCCACACATCCCTAGCACTGAAGACACAGGGGTTTCAGACAAGCAGAGGAAGCCTGTGTTTCCTAAAAGCTGGATGCACACACAGCAAATGCAATAGGAGGCAGTCAGCAGCAAGCTGAAAGGATTCCAGCAGTAAAAACCCAGCTCTCTTTATCACTCATTTTCCACATACTCATTTCACCCTCAGGGACATTCACTTGCCCTTTTTCTTCCTTACACACTGCACCAAGAATTCAGGTGGGACCTTTCTCTCCTATCAGGAGGATTGCTTGTCTTTTCCACATGGAGAATTGCATCCCAGCGTGCAGATTCCCCAGAAAGAAATGGTTCATTGAAAACAGAGGACAAGATCACATCCCTGAATGAAACTTCTATTTCTCTAACATAGGAAATGGATTCAAACTAAAAGTTTAGAGTAGATATGCAGAAGAAATTCTTTGCTGTGAGGGTGGGGAGGCCCTGGCACAGGCTGCCCAGAGAAGCTGTGGCTGCCTCATCCCTGGAAGTGTCCAAGGCCAGGTTGGACGGGGCTCTGAGCAACCTGGTGTAGTGGAAGGTGTCCCTGCCCATGGCAGGGGGTTGGAACTGGATCATCTTTAAGGTCCCTTCCAACCCAAACCATTCTATGATTCTATTACATTCTCTCTTGACTAAACAGCACATCTGCAGATGTATTTTAGGAACCAGCAGAGGTTCCTACAGCATAGAAATCTGAGGATAATTGGTTTGTTTCCTTTAAATGAATTATTTTGCAAAACCTTAGTCTTTATCTAATTATATCCAAATACAGGGCTCAACAGACAACACTGCTTCAGCACTCTGGGAAGCAGGGAATTATTCAAACACTTTGACCATATTTACCCTGCTGTAAGGAGTGGAAAAACCAGAACTAACTGAATTACAGACCTATTGATTAAATAGGTCATAGGATTGACTAAAGTAGTCCTTGCCTTGAGAGGATGACAGGCAAATTTAAATGACAGAAATACTAAATTAGGTATCTCAATTACGTACTTTTAGCACACATAAGTATTTATTAGCATTCTAAGCTTATTGATACAATCTTACAGGTGCTTTCTACAGTGCCAAAGTACTTTTAAGGTATCAGCACTATTAAAAAAAAATTGAGTCATTATTAGAAAATGAGTTGCAAGAACTGGCCTTAATACTGATAACTAAATACTGGCACATTTAGAATAAAATGAGGGAGCAGAAATTCCAATGAATGAATTACACTGGGAAGCAGAAAAATGCACACAGTAGTATCATATGTCAGCACATATACTGCTTGGGATATCCCTCCCAAGGAAGTGATAAAGTCCTCATCACTTTGGAAATCTTTTCAAATTGTGCCAACTTGGAAATGTAAACATACATAGGAAACGCTTTAGGGAGCATTCCTGACTCCAGGGAATGCTCTGGTACTCCACACACGAAGAAACAATTGAACAGTCTTCAGCTGCCATCAATCTTCAAGCACAGCACAGGTAGAACCCTGGTGGAACAGCACACCCCACTGACCTCCAGCTCCACTGCAACTGAGAGTAAATTCAGCGGCAGCTCCGGAACTCAACTAGTCTCCCTCCCTCGAGGTCTTGCACAAAATGGAAAATTGCACTGCCTGGGGAAGCCGAGGAACCCTCTTGGACATTTAGAGGTATGGAGTACCTGAGGGAGCCTCTACAACACCAACAGTTTGTACAGTGCACCTTCCTCACACACCTCACCCGACTCTGGTTGTAGCCAGAATGTTTCCATCTAAACCAGAGTGTGGATGTGCATATCTGCCATGAAGAACATCATAACCAGAGTAATACTTTCATCATCATTTAGAGCAGCAGGACCAGTGTCAAACAGCTATTATGGAAGAATGCCCCTATCACTTATCCTTATGAAGTCATATTCAGAATTCCTTGCTAGCTTGGGCTAGGACATGAACAAGGACTGCAAATTTGGCTCCAGCATCAGCACAGAAGCACCACCGTGCTGGTACATAGCTGGAACAGACTCAATTAGCAGAGAGCTGCTATACCTCCAATCATAGAAAAGTTTGGGTTGGAAGGGACCTTAAAGACCATCCAGTTCCAACCCCCTGCCATGGGTAGGGACACCGTCCACTATCCCAGGTTACTCCAACCCCCATCCAGCCTGTCCTTGAACACTTCCAGGGATGAGGCAGCCACAGCTTCTCTGGGCAACCTGTGCCAGGGCCTCCCCACCCTCACAGGGAAGAATTTCTTCTGCATATCTAACCTAAATTTTCCCTCTTTCAGTTTGAAGCCATTCTCCCTCATCCTGTCACTGAGGAAAAGTCCCTCTCCAGCTTCTCTGCAGCCCCTTCAGATACTGGAAGGTGCTGTGAGGTCTCCACACAACCTTCTCTTCTCCAGGCTGATCAATCCCAACTTTCTCAGCCTGTCCAGTGACCTGGTGTCACATTTTGCACTGATGGCGTGGGGCATTCACATGACCTTCCCTAAAGTGTTTGGGAACATCCTAGCTCCACCAGCCAATGCTGTAGTTATGGAAAACACTCATGCTGGTCGGGGTCTCACCTGAGGCAGAGGAGAGTGGTGCAAGCTGTGCTCTGAGCAGGCTGGAGCAGTTCCCAGCTGCAGCGTTTCCTCCCAGCACGGCAGATTGGTCACGAGCAACATCAGGCAACGGAGGCACAGGCAGAGGAGGTGCCCTGGAGGAAGCAAAAAGGGTGTGAGGATGAATCAGAAGACAAGGCAAGGCATTATGACCAAATACATACTCTTCTACCCTACAATGGGCAGATCCTACATCACTAGCTGGTGCAAAAAGAAAGCAGTGGCTGATTTAGGTGTGCAAGGAATGCTGTCTTGGTAGTATTTGGGGAAGCAGCCTCAAGTCCCCAGTGTAGGACAGGCAGCAGGGACAATGCAATGAAATAAGTCAGGTGGTCTCCAATCTTTAACTTAATTTTTCCTCTTTGCATTCTGTTTTCTCACTCCAGATTGCCACAAATATATCCCTGTGGAAACTAATTTCTTCCCTCACACATTCACTCACTACCCCTTGAAAGACTATCTATCCTCTCACATACTCCCTTCCCCCCCAGTAAATGTCCCCTGCTCACCTATGAAAGGTGCTACCTTATATTTGTTCAAAGAAGCCCATGACTTTGTAAGAGTGATCTAAGCAAGCAGCACTTCCATCACCAAGTCAAAATCCATGGAAATGGAAAGCAGTGGTGGGAAATGCAATGGGCTCCTGACCATTCACAAAAACATAAAATGAAGGGGTGATCCATAGACCTTTCTATCTCATCCCTTGTGCTCCACATGACTTCAGCCACAGCAATCTCAACAGATTTATTTCAAACCCTCTTTTAAGAGGGTCTACTACAATTTGCCAAGAAATCTGACGAGCTACTGAGGTCCAACTCGATTGTCAGCTCTCCATAGTTTAAATGTAAAGGGGAAATGGCAAAGGAAAACATTTAATTCATTAGGTACCTGTTGTGGAAAGATGAGAAAACAGAGTAGGTCCCCCACCCATAATCATGTGACAGAGGTGACGATGTTGGATGTTTTCTGTGGCCTTTCGCATTCAGCTTCTCCGATTTCCGCCACTTTGCCCTGCGATTCTGAAACCAGATCTGATGAATGGAAAGAAAGGATGCATTCAGGAAAGAAAACATCTACACATGGGGACACTGACAACGAATCAGCAGTGACTGCTTCCACACATCACCAGGTGAGCCCAAAAACCTTCCTTTGACAGAAAGGAACCTCAAGAAACCTTTCTTCCCAAGAACCTGCACAATTCATTGCAAACAGAAAAATAATAGCAGAAAGACACCCCCAAACATCAATTTCCTTTGCTGCCCATGATTTTCAAGACAAAAGAGATTAACTCTGATCTCCTTAGCCTCATTTATCTAGCCATTATATGATTCATCTTAGGAAATGGGAAGATATGCAACCCCAGACTCCATGGCCATTTTGGGTGGGGTTGAGCAGCGTCCATCCCTGTGAGCTCTCTTCCTTGTCACCAGTGGCAGGTGTAGTCGTCACCTCCTCCCTGCCCCAGTCCCTGTCCATCCTTTTTCTGCACAGAACCCACTGTCCCTCACACAGGCGTTACCAGGATTCGCTTTGGCATCACACCAAACGCAGCTGCAAGCTCCATCTTCTTCTCAGTGTCGGGATAGGGGTCTTCCTGGAACACCTTCTCCAACTCTTCTAGCTGCTCTAGAAAACATGCATTGTTCAAAGAGAGTGAGAGATGGGGAGTATGTGATAAACAAGAAAAAAAAAACAGAAGAGGGAAGCAGAAAAAAAACAGAACATTTTTACTATATTTAGAAACACATGAAAAACATAAAAGATTTTTTTTAAAGTAAACCACAAAAATAAACAAAACTCTTCTTTTGCAGTAGAAACAAAGAGCACTGCTAACAATGCTTCAAACATAAGACACTTTATTTGAAGATCTCTCTTTGAAGATCCTCACACATCTGATGGTGTGGAATGCAGTGCAGCACCAGTTAGGGCAGCTCAGCACCTCCATGGGCCTCTGGCATGGGGAAAGGAACACCAGTGCCACTGGCACTACAAGTGTCCCTGTCTGCCAGTGGGTGCCCCAGTATCTACCTGCATTGTAGGAGGTGCGGGACTTCTTCCTGACCGGTGGTAGGATGTCTGGATTCTCAAGTAAGGCTTTTTTCTCCTCTTCCTCTTTTCCCTCCTCCTTGGTTGCATCGTGGCTACTTCTGGATTCCAAGACTGAAGACACCTTGTAGGACTGCTGGGCTTCAGCACATTTGGATGACTGGCAAGTAGCTGGGCCACCCTCATCCTGCCTGCAGGGAGCTCCAGGGATTCCACTTGGTGCTTTCTCGGCGGACATTCCACTTCTGTTGGTACTTTTTTTCTCCTTTGCCTCCTTTTCAGTCCCACCAAGGTAATGACTCTCACAGTGTTCAGGGGACCCTGACTGACCTGGGTGCTCATGATCCACCACAAAGTGCTCCTTACACTGCAACACGTTGCCCTCCTCATCCTGGCACTCTGTAAGGAAAAAGTGGGAAAAAAAAAACACCCCAAAACCAACCCATACCCCACCTCACATGCACTGTGCCTGGATCAGGAGTTTCAGTTATGGAAGAAGGAAAACACCACACAACAAAACCCAACAGTGACAAGAACTGGAGAGCTCAAAATAAAAACTGTCACCAGGACAGAGCCTGCCAGGGAAGCAAGAGCAAAGAAACTGAAATGGTCAACAGGGAGATAGTCAAACCTCTGTGATGAGAAATGGTTCATATTGAGAGTGAAGATGTCTGCAAAAACATTACCAACTGTAAACTACAGGGAGAGGTAATTCCAGGCACAGAGAATAAAGGGAAGGTTGCATATTACAAATACAGTAGTGGGAAAACAGTACTGGGGATAGCAAAGGTCTCTGGACTAATGGACAGAATAAAAATTAATGATTTACGAGCAAAAGAAAGACACAAGTGAAATTGTGGTCTATTGTGTCAACAGGGATTATCTAACAAATGACAGACAATTTTTTATGTATTTCTGTCATACCAAAGCTGACCAAGCAAAACCCATTAATTGTATAAGCTTCTGATAACTGCCTTGAATTATTTTTCTGCAGCTTCAGTCACACTTACAAATAACAGACTTACAAACCAGCAAATTAAATAGCTGGATGAGGACAAAAACAGGTGTAGAAGTGTGATCAAGTTTAACAAAAAGCACAAACTGCATTATAGTAAGGAAGACTAAATAGTAGAAGACAGGTCAGAGAGAACACAGCAAGAGAAATAATTAAAATAAGCAACATAACAATAAAGAAGCGTTATACTTTTCCAGTTGGCATATACTTTTCCAAAAAACAATGTCCCAAAAACCTGCTGGTTGTCTTAGAATGTCTGAGTCTGTGTGATTCCTGCTAGATAAACAAAACAATCAATCAATCAAACAAACGAACAAACAAATGCTTAAGAATAGAAAGTAGAATAACAAACCCAAACCCATGTATCTACCTCTGTCTGGAGAGGGGAAAGTTTGAGCAGACTGTTGGCAGCATTTCAGTTGTATATGCTTACAGAGAAACTTGGTCGTTTAATTTGGGGATCTAGAATAATTCTCTTTCTAACATTTCACTCTGGTTTACTTTTGATATATATTAGTGCAATATCAAAATAAGGGATTTGCTTTCTGCCTCAATGTTTCTTTCTGAAACAACTGTTAGTCAAGGAGTCCCATAACATCCGTCAGATGGGAGAATCTGCATGGAAGTATGAGGGGATGCCAGGCTGTTCCAAGACCTTCCAGTTTGCTTTTTACAGGATTAAGAGAACTAAATTAGCTGCAGGGGAAAGAAACAGAAGCAGGAAGTTATGCAACTATAATAATTTGATCTTGTTAAGCAACAACAGTTTCCACTGCTATTGACATGAAATATTCTGATGGGGAGGGTCAAGAAACAGTGAGGCACAGTCTGGCTCTGTTCTGTATAATTCCTTTTTCCATCACCCTCCTTGTTGCCTCTTAGCTCATCTCACTCATCATGTGAAAAAACCAGTATTTTCTGTCACTCACCCAACATCTCAAATAGGCAATGGCATTTTCAGCTTAGTGCTTTGATTTGAGCAGGGGTTTCACTTGTTTCTGTGCAAACACCAGTATGTGTTTGCACCACAAAATAGATTTCCAAGTCTTGTGTAGGTACTTTCTACCTGTTTTATATTACCTACAGAAATACTCTTGCAAGAGAAAGTAAATTGCTCTTATTTCTAAAATACACAGCAAAGGCCTCACAACAACTTGGGATTGACAAGGAAGAGCTGTAATAAAAATAGTTTGGAGAGAAAGATAGGCCTTCATGGTAATAAAGAGGGACTTACCAAACCACTCCTTTCTCCCATATGGCAAGAGACCAGACTGAACATCACTTTGTCCCACTTTTAGATAAACATAACCTTAAGCAGCAGAGATTTTAACTGACTGGGAACATCAGACGTTCAGTCTGGAACACCTGAGCTGCTGAAGGCGCACGAGCAGGAAGGCAAGCTCTCTTTTCCTTCTCACAACCACCTCCTTAGACATTTCTCGGAGCAAGCCAACCACTTGCACTGTGACAGCAAGACTTCTGAGGGTTTTTTGGGGCATTTGTTACAAAGCCACCTGAAGGCACGCACACGGACAGATGTCAGAGGTCCATCCACACAAGGAGGAGGAAAACCGGACAGCGGGGGGAAGGTACAACAGAGAAAACCGGAGGCAGCGGGAGCCCCTCCGCGCGACAGGAGGGGAAAGGCACCTGCCCCCAACCCTCGCTCAGGTGCTTTTACAAACCGAGGCACACGAGGGCCCCGCAGCCCTTCGTCCCCAAACTCCGCCACGGAGCCCCAGACGCCAGGATGTGTCTGTGCGGGGTCAGGACGCCGCGGGGATGAGGGAGGCGGGGGAATGTTGGCCGGAGCGCCCAGATAACCTCCCGGAGGAGCCATTACCCTACCCCTGGCGTCACTCATTAGGCTCATCGCCGAGTGCCTCCCTCCGCTCATTAAGGCGAGCCGGCACCACCCTTACCCATACCCTTGTAAGAACCCTTATATAACCCTTAAATTAACCCTCATAACAACCCTTACCATCACCCTTACTCAGTTTTCCGGCCGCCCGCTCCTTGTTTTCTCCGTCCGCGCCCGTCCCGTCCATCCCGGCTCGGCTGTGCTCCCGGCCTCGCCCAGCCCGCTCCGGTTAATGCCCCGCCCGAGGTCAGTCCTGCCCCGGCCCCGCCGGCTCACCAAGGACACCTGGGACAGCGGGGGAGGCTGCCCGACCCCCGCACCCGCAGGGAACGGGGCAGCGTCCCCGCGTCCCCGCTCGGCCTCGGCGGGGATGCTGTTCCCCCCCGGCCGGTACGGGAATGCTTCAAGCTCGGCTCGGGATACCTGGGAGAATGCTTCCCGCGAAGAGCTGGTGGAAATGCCGCCCACAGCACGCCGCGGAAGCCTAGATGTTGCAAAGCTCGCGTGAACGAGGTGAACCTCGTTATCTAGAGTGGTGTGTCCAGTCTGGGCTCCTCAGTGCAAGAAAGACAAGGAGCTGCTGGAGGGGGTCCAGCGGAGGCCACAAAGGTGATGAGGGGGTTGGAGCATCTCTCTGAGGAGAGGCTGTGGGAGTTGGGTCTATTTTGTCTGGAGAAGAGAATGCTGAGACAGGATCTCATTAATGCGTATAAATATTTCCAAGGCAGGTGCCAAGAGGATGGTGCCAGACTCCCTTCAGTTGCGCCCAGCAGCAGGAGGGCAGCAACGGCCATAAACTAAAGCACAAAAAGCTCCACTTCAGCATAAATAACTGGAACAGGCTGCCCAGGGAGGTCGTGGATCTCCCTCTCTGGAGACATTCCAAACCCACCTGACCTGCTACCCTGTCACCTGCTCCAGGTGACCCTGCATTGGCAGGGGGTTGGACTGGATGCTCACTGGAGGTCCCTTCCAACCCTAAGGATTCTGGGATTCTGTAGTCTTTTCCAGTGGGCTGGCAGGAAGATATTACTTTTTTAACGTGCTCTGGCTGTAGTTATTTAGCAGTGCTTCTGGTTCTCCGTCAACAGGGGTTGCACTGTCTGCAAAGACAGTACTGGCATGAAGAATGAGCCTTGCTTCACTGCATTCTGATGCACCAAAATAGAATATCCTTCATCCTTTTCATGGTTACTGGCTTACCATCTTGTTGCTCTCACGGCACCATTCTCCTACTGTGTGTTTCCCTAATACCTTCTGTCTTTGTTTCAAGATTCACTAGAGCTTGGAAGGTCCTGCTTCTACAGATGCTTTCACCTGAAAGCAGTTTCACCATGTTAAATGAGTGTAAGCTGAAACATGTGCCAGCATTTTGCAGACAGTATAATCGGTCTAACTGTGCACCTGGTTCAGCCACCAGCTGCAAGACATGCTGGCTGCAATGTCATTGTGGCTAAAATGGCATTTAGTTTGCTAACAGCATTCAGCTGACAAAACATAACTCAGAAGGGATGGGACCTCTTCAATATTAGATAAAAGTGCAAATTATAAAAATCACTAACTGCTTCAGAGGTTCCTGTTTCTGAGCAAGGTTGTGTTTATTTACTGAACTCTGGTCCTAATATCAGCTTTTTCTTTTGAAGGGAGTAAGAACTGTGGAGAATGCTTTCTTTTATTTTCCTTGAGGAGGGACCAACTCAGGTTCCCAGGGCTGTGAGCTTTTTTTTTTCCTCTCTTTAGAGCCACATATATCTATATGTATATATATTTTATACTTCTTTATATGAAAAATGACAGGAGTCATAACATTAACTTTCAGATGTAAACAGTTACTTTCTCAGACTCTCAACAAAGCTGTTTAGATGTAGTTTATACTTGTGCTCCATTGCTGTTCTTCTCACAAGAATGAATTAGTGTAACTGCCCTCTGAGGGTTTTTTTTTTCCGGTATAGAAATACTGAATTTCTTTTGTCTGGATACACTATGTATCAGTCTCCACAGGTTCCTGGGGAAGATACACTGGCACCTCTCACACAGTGTTCCTATGCCCTGCCTTCTTTGTGGATCTTCCTAGATAAGTATTGGGACCTGTTTGACAAACCCTATGCTTCTGTTTAACACTAATTTTTTGGGAAATCAGGTTATCCTCATTAGATAATGTAGGGAGAAATCCTGACTCATAAAGAAGACTGTGATAGGACACAGCAGATACTCTGTTAAACTTGATTCCTGTAACCTGAATGCGCAGTTGGAAGGGGTATTGTACTAGTTTGATTAAGTTTGTACAAATCAAAGAGATGTTAATCAACTTCAGAAAGCATTTCAGATATGGATTTCGGTGGCAGGATGGTGCTGGAGTTAAAAATTGAAATAAATAGTGAGAAGTTGAGGCCTATCTGAAATGCAAGAAATCAAAGTAAACCAGGACATGAGCGCTTAGAAGCATAAGCTGACCTTTAAATGTTCCTAAACATACTCATTCATGGCTGGGCTTTGCAAACGAAGATTTGGGAAGGGCTCTACCCACATTTGCTACAAGCACACTGCTGGCTAAAGAGGCCAATACGAGATAGACACATCCGGTTGCAAAAGGCACAGCAGAAGGACTCCTTGGATGGGATCGGCAAGACACGGTTCTTTCTGCGTTGTCTTTTCTCCTCGATGGTGATCCTGCTGCGTTCTCAAAGGAAGCAGCAGCGTTAGAGATGGGGTGTCTCCAGACCTCCCGACTGGAGGCCAGAGTAGACCAGTGATGAAGATCAGTGTGGCCAAGACTGAGATGTTGTTTCAGGCAGTCCTTGTATCTTCTCTTCAGGGCTCCTCTCATGCAGCAGCCAGTGGCAAGTTCACCATAGAGCACGATCTTAGGGAGGGGGTGGTTGGTCCTTCATCCTGGAGACGTGCCCTGCCCAGCCCAGCTGTGTTCTCAGCAACATGGCCTCAATGCTCGTCACTGCTGCCTGTTCTAGAACAGATGTATTGGTCACATCATCTGACCAGTGGATGTTTAGGATTGTTCAGAGGCAGCGTTGATGGAAGCGTTCCAGGAGTCGCAGGTGATGGCGGTGGATGACCCATGATTTGGACCCATATAAGAGAGTAGACAGCACTATGGCTCTGTAAACACTGATATTGGTACTTTTCTTCAAGTGTTTATTTCACTAAACTCTTTTATGGAGTTTTCCAAAAGCTCTCGATGCCTTTGCTAACCTGTTGTCTATCTCTCCATCAATCTCACCATCCGAGGAGATGAGGCTGCCTAGGTAATTAAACTGCTGGACTGATTTGAGTTCTGATTGGCCAATGGTGATGTGGGGATGATGGGAGACTTCCTGAGGTGCAGACTGATAGAGAACTTCTGTCTTCTTCAAGCTGACTTCCAGCCCAAAGAGCTCAGCAGCCTCAGCAAAGCAGGATGTTAAACGCTGCAGAGCTGCTTCTGTGTGAACGATGAGGGTGTCGTCGTCAGCATAGAGCAGCTCCCAGACAAGATGGTTTAAGGTCTTGGTGTGGGCCTTCAGTCCCCTTAGGTTGAAAAGGCTTCCATCAGTACGGTATCGAATGTAGATGATCATTGAGGTCTGCCGTGGCCCTTTGGAGCATCCTGCTGGAAAAGATTGTGAATAGGGTTGGTGCGAGAACGCAGCCTTGTTTCACACCATTAGTTATTAGAAAGGGCTCAGAAACTGCATTGCCATATCTGACTTGGCTGTGCTGATCCTCATGGAGTGAGAGGATCATTTTAAGGAACTTGGGGGGACAACCTAAACATTCCAAAATCTACCACAGACCTTTTCTGCTCACAGTATCGAAAGCCTTGGTGAGGTCAACAAAGGTTACATAAGGACCTTTGTTCTGTTCCCTACGCTTCTCTTGCAGTTGTCTGAGAACAAATACCGTGTCTGTGGTGCTCCTGTTGGCTCTGAAACCACACTGACTTTCAGGAAGAATTCCTTCTGCTCTAGTGGGTATTAGTCTGTTCAAGAGTATTCTTGCCAGGATCTTGCCAGCAGTGGAGAGCAGAGTAATACCTCAGTAGTTAGAGCAGTCTGATTTATCTCCCCTCTTCTTATATAAGGTGATGATGACTGCGTCATGAAGGTCTGATGGTAGTTGGCCTAGTTCCCAACAGCGCACCACGAACTCGTGGAATTTCGCATGGAGTGCTTGGCCCCCATGTTTCCAGACTTCAGGTGGAATTCCATCAACCCCAGCTGCCTTGCCAGTTTTCACCTGCTGTATGGCCTTAAGAGTTTCTCCCCTAGTAGGGGCAATATCCAGTTCATCCTTCACTGGCTGTTGTGTAATGCGTTGAATTGCTGAGTCTTGAGCTACATGATTGGTACTGAAAAGAGTCTGAAAGTGTTCAGACCATTGATTCAGAATGGAGGTTTTTATCTGTCAGAAGCGTTTGACCATCTGCACTGAGTATCTGCACTACTTGGAATGTAGGCCCATATGCTGTTTTCAGGGCCTCATAGAATCCTCTGTGATCACCCGTATCTGCACATAATTGAATTTTTCCTGCTAGACTGATCCACCACTTGTTCTGGATGTCACGAAGTTGCTGTTTGAGCCTGCTGCATGCAAGATGAAAGGCTGCTTTTCTTACATGACGAGACGGCAGTGCAAGGTGTGGTTGGTGAGCAGTTATCTTCTTCCTCAACAATTCCTGGATCTCTTGATTGTTTTCATCAAACCAGTCCTTGTTGTTCTTGAAGGAGAACCCTAAGGATTCCTCAGAGGACTGCAGGATGCTGTTTTTAATATGCTGCCAAAGTGATTCAGGAGAGGGATCTATGGAATGATCCTCGAGCCTAGTTTGAAGGTTTGTCTGAAAGTTGTCTCTCACTTTAGCTGATTTAAGATCGTTAACTTGGAGTCTCCTCCTTGGAATACCGCCCCTTTTAGGTTTGAACTTAAGGTTGAAGTCAAGTTTACAGCGCACAAGTAGATGGTCTGTTTGGCATTCTGCACTGGGCATCACGTGGGTGTGATGGACATCGCGGACATCTCTCCGTCGCACCAAGATGTCATCAATGAGGTGCCAATGCTTGGATCTAGGATGCATCCAGGTTGTCTTCAGTCTATTTTTCTGCTGAAAGATAGTGTTGGTGATGGTGAGCTGCTGGTGCCTTTAAGTTCCCAGTAGATCCAAGTCCCCATATTCCATAGCAAAGGGTCCAGCTGAGCCCCCAGCACTGGCAGCCAGACACAGAAGTGATTGATGTGCCCACGTCAGCCCCATTGTCACCTTCCACCCTTGGTGTCAGCCTGCCCACAGTGCTTTTCCTGACCCTTCTGGTGACACAGGAGGAGGACGACATTGACCTGGATTTTGGATGTGCTCCTCTTCCTCCCCTCTTTATTCCTCCCCAGGGCTGGGAGCAGGGCTGGGCATGGTGGGGATTGTGTGGCTAGGTGTTTTTTCTGTGTAAGGGCTTTTTGACAGCACAAGTGGCTCCTTTCTATGCCCCCTCAGGACTCCCACAAGCGAACAAAAGCCCTTTCCCCCAGGAAAGAAATTGCTTACCCACTGGTTCCCAGGTGCAGTTGTTGGGACAGCTGGGGAACTCTGTGGGCAGCAAGAGCTTTCTGTCCTGGCACCTTTTGTCTGGGAAGAAGATTCATCCGTATTCAGTTTTGGCAGTAGGAGATAAGCAATTCCATGCTCCTTAAAACAATAGCTTCTCTTCTTGAGGTGTAGTTTAGGGGCAGAAGAACAGTAGCTGCACTCTGAGTTGTTGATGTATTGAACAGTAGACCAAATAGCCTCAGAAAGTGTGTAAACTGCTTCCAGCTGAACTTTGCAGGCTGCTGCTCTGCCAGTACTTCAAAGCACGTTTAGCTGAATAAGTTTATTTTCATCATTACAGCAGGCTGGAATCACTTCTTCCGACCTGCACCTTATGGGCGCTTCAGTACAAAAAGGTGCAAAGTTATACGAGGGGAAAACCAGGCATAAATAAATGCAAAACTAAAAAGTCTGTAAAACATTTTCCACACGCTGAGGACTTGGCCCTGCCCACCTGTCTGCTGAGGCTCAGCAGGATACCCGGGGCTGCCAGCGGGATACAGGAAAACCTGTGTCACTATGTGAATGTCACAGGGCCACAGGTCCCATCTCCTCCCCAGTCAAAGGCCTTGTTCCTCAGGCTTGAGATGGACTCATGATTTGCGTTGGACTAGGCTGGGCTGGGCTAGTTACATTTCTTCCCAGTAGCTGGTAGGGGCTGTGCTTTGGATTTGTGTTGGATCAGTGCTGGTAACACAGGGATGTTTTAGTTATTGCTGCACAGAGCCAATAGTGAGGCCCCAATTAATTTCAGTTTATACAAGATGCTTCCTTCAAGGACACGTAAAGCCTTTATGGGGTACAAAGATGCCCCTGCAGCAACAGGCTCATGGTGCCCAGGGTGGGGAAGCAGCCCCGTTTGCTCCCAGCCTTGCCCCGGTCGGGGGGGGCACTGTGGTGAGGGGGCAGTGTGGCCCCTGGTGCTTTGTGGTGCTGTGGGTTGGGTGGCCCTACAGAGCCACCTTATGCAGGGTGACATGTGCCACATGCCTCGGGGACAGGGTCACACATCCCCCACACCTGCCCTGGGGAACACCCATCCTGGAGGGGACGGGTGCCACGAGCCTGTCCTGGGGCTTTCCCTTTTTCCCAATTGGCTGCAAGCCATCCCCTGTCAAAGGTGATGGATCTTCCTTTGTTCTTAGCCCAAAGAGAAGAGGAACCTTGTGTACAAAATGGCCCTAAAAGATTGAATTTTTAAAGAATTTTCTCATTTCCCTTATCCCGCCGAGAGACCCTGATACCCAAGTTCAGCTCTTGTAACTTGGATATCTCACAACTTCATGATACGTCTATTTATATAAAAACTGTATTTTTGTTTCTCATACAAGGACATGGGGAGAGCCACCTTTTAGCCACTCATACATCCCACAGATCCAGGCAGTTACAGCTCCTTTGGGAACCATGGTTCCCTGGGACTGCAGCTCTGTTTATGTACCAGAGTAAACAGTCTCACCACTGGAGTCCTCTGCTCTTGCCCCTGACAGTTGATTTCAGAGACATATTTTGTTTCCCAGGCTGATAGTCCCAGGCAAACCAGGAGCTGAGACAATCAAACCAAGATCAAATGGATCAATTCAAATGGGATGCTAAACCAATTAATAACTGAGAGGGATCTGCTTACACTGCCAGCATTTACAGTCACAGTTCTGCAGCTGTTTATTGTTACAGTTTTACAGTGGAAATACTTTTTAAAAGTAATTCAAGGCTAGAAAACACCAAACTAATGGTGGACTTCCAAAGACACTTCTTTCTCTGTCAGGATTCCCTAAAATGAGGTCGTTGGTGGAGTTCCTCCCCCTGTTTTGCATACATCCTCCTGTGCTCTCTTGCCATGTATTCCAGGACAGCAGCCACACCTCCTGACTCTTGCATGATCTGGAATTTCCACCCATGGGACTCTGGTGCCTGTATAATCTCTCTATCCTGTCTGTGGGCTCCTCAAGATTAGAATTCAGGATTAAAGTCGGGAGACTTACAAAAAACAAACAAAAAACCCCACCACAGACCAGAAGCTTTTATTGACTGAAATTTCTCCGCTTCTTTCCTCAGCAGGAAAATAATTATGGCAACAAGGAAAAAAAAACACAACCAAGAAAAAAAGAAATAAAAAAGTGCTTCTGTTGCAAATATTATTATTCTTGACTCTCTTTTTGACTCTTCTTGTTTTGCAGAGTTTAAAGTGGCAGTGTTTCCTTTTCCTTTGTTTTTTTTTCCCCTCAGAGACTAGCATCAGTCATTAATTTCTTCTTTGATTTCTGAAAAAACCCCAAACAGATTCATAAGAAAATGGGATTTCACATGTGTCAGAGACTGAAACGGTTAATGATTTATGTGTTCTAGGATTGCCAAGGGACTTGCAGGCTTCTGCAGGACTTTTGCTTTATACCTCTGATGGCCCATCAAAGCCCATCCCCCCCTCTGCCAGTCTTGAAAGGCGAGAAAACCTCTTTTTACCGGGCCCCACACAGGAACTCTGTGCAGGCCCAGGGAGATGTTGGAGGCTTGTGGCATGGGCAGGGACACTAACCATGGATATAATAACTCAGAACTTCTTTGAGTGTGGGGGCTTCCCTCCTTCACCCCCAGCAGATCAAGGCCACCACTGACAAGACATGGAAGCTGCAACTACTGAATTCCATCGCTGGACCCCGTGGGCGGTGACTATATAAATCTTTCCACTCTGCATGTGAAATGACCTATGGCATGGCCACCACCCCACCCCAACCCATCGTTCACAAGCCAGAAAGTGCCCGGGTCACCAGCCCCACAGCTGGGGTGAAGAGGCTCACCCTCTCTGGGGTGGAGGCTTTCATTCTCTCAAGCCCTCCCCCAGACCCAAACCAGGGGGCCAAAGTCATCCGGGCAGATCCTCAGGGGTGGAGGAGGCACAGCTCAGAAACTTTCTTTTCCACCACCACTGTGACCCCAGTGCCCCCTTCCTTCGCACAAACCCCAAACGACACAGCTGGGCCTCGGTGGAGAATGTGTCCCTGAGGACAAGCGAAGGCCTGCAGGAGGAGCAGGGTGGCAGTCCCATGTGCCACCAGACCTCAGCTGGCTTCCAGAACGGCCTCAACTACATCGCCAGTGACATAGTGGGTGGGTCCCTGGCAAACTGGCACAAATCCAGGTTGAAAGCCAGGCTCCTCCTGAACGGGGGCATCAATGGAGTAGAGATGAGCACCTATGCCAGCACAGACTTTCTGTTTCACAACCTGAAGGAAGCAAGTGCTGTGAAAGGTGAGTAGCTACATCTGAAAGTGGTTGCTGTGTGTATTTGTGCCTACCGTTTGCCATCACTGTGTTGTGTGTTTGTCGTGTAGAGCACTATCCCTCCTTGCTTCCTTAAAAATCACTCTTATCCCCCTTTTACACATCCTGTAATAAGCAGGTTTAGAGGAATTTGGTGGCTCTTTGTATGAGAAAAAAGGTTTAATTTTGTGATATTTCTTCATGTTTCAGTTCTACTGTGCCATTATTATGAGTGTATACTTCTGGGCATCCCAATAGAAGCTGGTGTTTACACAGTTACTATGTTTGGGCTGTCCTTCAGTTTTCTTACATAAAATTTTGGAAAGTGTTTGGAAAATGTGACCAAAATAGTTCATGTTAATGCAGCATCTGAATACTACTTAAAAATGTAAAATGATTGACTTAAAAACAGAATTGTCTGACTGAGGACATCAGATTACAAAAACAATCCTTGGCTCTCTAGCTGAGAATGTCTGCAACATCAAAATGAGAAAGATAAATTTAATATCACGGTTTTGAAATACCTTCTCTCTTGCAAAAGTTTAACAGTAAATCATAGTAAGCATAGAATGTGAATTTAAAAAAATGTAATAATTCTTTCCAGAAGTCCCTCTATGCTTGAGCTATTACACGTATCACACATTTCACTTAAGGGCCCACCCTGTGGTGGTGTGTAACTGTGTTCCAGCTGACGGCTCAGTCCCAGCATGGATGACCAGTTGGTTGGCTTGCTTTTATATGAATTGCAAATGTTTGGTGTTCAAAGATAAAAGCAAACTGAAGAAATCTGAAACTTTGCATAAGAGAGAATTTAGGTTTTAAGTATGTAGCTGTTCCTTTATTGGGGTGCTGGTTATGCTGTTGAAAGAAAAAATAAAGCAAAGAAACAAATACCTTCCCTTCTCCCCCAAAATAGCAACCCACCTCCCCTCAATGAGTGAGGGTTTGTACACAACTGGGGGCTAGTTGAGGAGGGCACAAAATAGCCAATCTGTCAAGGAGAAAAAGTTAATGATAAGACACTGAACAGAGACATGCCAGGGAGCCTGTGTGCAAATCCACACACACTTGAAGGGCAGAAAGTTGTTAAAAAAATTCCGTGGATGCAGAATACACAGAAATGATACATGGCTACCAAGATGTGCCTCCCTTCCCTGAGCAGGGCTGGCGAGTTGATCTGACCATATGAGTATCATATCTTTGTTTAGGGGTTGGAAGAGCAAGTCCCTCCTGGTTTTTTAGCAAATATTCAGGAGCTTTGAGACATCTCAACCTCCAGTTTGGGATACAATCTGGATAATTTCAGTGTATTTGAGATATTTGGGAACACAGAAGCTCACTGCTCTGTCCCTACTTTTTAATGGAGGACAAATAAAATGGGGGGGGGAATGAAATCCCATGAAGCTTGTCAGGAAGAGCCAATCCTCCCTAATTCAAGGTATTGGCTGAAATAAATTTCTAGCAGTTCTTCCTGCCTCATTTTTCTCTGATTCAACGTATCAAGAGACAGAGTAATGGGTTTTCAGGTATACACAGAGAGAAGCACCTGCAGTGGGACAGGGACACAAACCCCCTCACCTGATGAGACCATTAACTTCATCTACAATGTGTCTGAGTTTGTAATAAGCATCTGTTGGGGGCAGTTTGAGCTCCAGGATGAGCCGGTCGATCTTGTTGATGCACACGGTCACTGCCAACCTCTCCTGCACCGCATGCTTGATCAGCTGCTCCGTGTTCAGCATCACCTGCAAGGAACAACCAACTCAGAGCCCCAGGAAAGCCTCCATGAAATGCTGTCTGGGGCGTAGGTGTTACTGGGGTGCACTGGGGAGCACTGGGTGTTGCTGGGGGTTGTTGGGGAGCACTGGGTGTTACTGGGGAGCACTGGGAGAGAAAATGAAAAATAAAGAGAATAAAAAATAAACGAAATAAAAAAGGAAATATAAAAAACAAAAGAAAATTAAAAAAATTAAAAGCAAAAAAACTAAAAAGGAAATAAAATGAAAATGAAATAAAAGAGGAAAAAAAAAAAAAGAAACCCCTTCTTGGGCACCCCGTTTCCTCTCCTCCCGCCCCCCGACCCGTAAATTGCGGGGTCATCACCCCTAAAATGTGAGACGGGGACCCCAAAATGCGGGTGGGGGAACCCCAGGGAGCCGAAAAAGCGGAGGGGGAGCCGCAGTAAGAAAGCGAAGCCGGGCGGTCGGGCGGCGGGGTGGGGGGGGCAGGCAAGGTGGCGACGCCGGCGCGTGCGCAGTCGTTGGCAAGACGCCGGCGATCACGTGGTAAGTAAGGGCAGCCAGGAGAGGGACCGGCGACGCATGCGCAGTGGCTCTCGTGGCGGTGCAGCGCTCCCTGCTCGAGTTAAGGGCCGGTTCCGGCGGCAGGGCGGGACTCGCGGTCTCCCGTCTCTCCCGGGGTGTGTGTGGGGGGATAACATGAAGATTTTTTGGGGTGAAAGCGCAGAAATTAGCGAGGAGGGCCGGTAATTTGGGTAAACTCGGTCACCGGAAGTAGAGAGCGACCGGAAGTCCTCCAAAGCCCCGGCCCGGCAGTCCGCCAAGCCCACAGTAAAGATGGCGCCGCCAGGACCGGAACGACCACACTAAAGATGGCGGCCCCGGCCCGGAAGTTCGCCCCGACGCCACACTCAAGATGGCGCCGCCACGACCGGAAATTAGCCGACGCCACACTAAAGATGGCGGCGAGAGGCCCCCTCTCCTCAGAGAGGCGTCTATCCTGTTGCCTGACCTCCGCCGCGACCCGGACCCCCGCCCCGCGCCCGCAGCGCCGTCTCGCCGCGCCGCTTCCCGCTGTGGGGACGGGGCGGGGGGCTCGGCGGCGCCGGGCGCGGGCGGCAGGTTCGCGGGCGGCGGCAGGCACCGGCGCGGGCAGACCCCTCTCGCGCCGCGGCGCGCGGCGCACGCGCGACGATCCCACGCGGTCGCGGCGCGAACCCCGGCCGCCCCGTTCCGTTCCGTTCCGCTCCGCTCCGCTCCGCTCCCGGTCGGTCCCGCCGTGCCCCGGAGATGCTGTCGGTGCTGCGCCGCCGCCTTCCCCCCCCGGAAGCGACCCACGGCGGCAGATCCGACGTCGGGCTCTGCAGGAGATCGTCGCCGGGGTAAGCGGGGGCCCGGCGGGGGGGGCGGCGGCCGCTCTTCTGCCTCTCCCGCGGCCAGCGGGGCCTGCAGGCAGGGGAAGCGACGGGCAGCTTTCTCGCCTCTGCGGAGACACTCGCACCCGCGTGCCGCCGCCAGGAGAAGGGGCGGCGAGAGCGGCAGGGCCGGGCTCGGATGTGCCCTGGCATCGCCCCCCCCCCCCGCGGGGAGGGTCTGTGCTGCCTCAGGGACAGAGGAAGCGGATCTTGCAGGACCCCTTTGTTCGCTCGTTGAGCTCGCAAGAGACACAAGGTGCATGAAATCCCAGGGCAGCTGCGCCTGCCGGAGGGGTTGCAGGGAGAAGCAGCTGGGGGGGGGGGGGTCGTCCCTGGAGATCGTCCCCGGGGTAAGCTGGGCGCGGCGGCGGGGGGCGCGGCCGCTCTTCTGCCTCTCCCGCGGCCATCGGGGACTGCAGGCCGGGGAAGCGACAGGCAAGTTTCCCGCCTCTGCGGAGAAACTCGCACCTGCGTGCCGCCGCAGGGCCGGGTTCGGATGTGCCCTGGCATTGCACACGCACCACACCCCCCCGCGGGGAGGGTCTGCGCTGCCTCGGGGACCCTGTCTGTGCTGCCGGGAGAGAGAAATCCTTTGGGAAGCTGGGCTGGAAACAGCAACTCTGTGAACTGCTCAGCTTTTCCTAGGCAAGGGCAGGTTTTAGGGAAGAAAGGCCCGGACGCGCGAAAGGCGCCGCGGGTCTCGCCAAGGGGGGGGGGGGCGCGCGGCTGCAGCGCCGCGCGCGGCTGCAGTGCCGCTCCCGGCCGTGTCCGCCAGGCGGCGACTGTGAGGCAGGGCCCGGCGCTCGGGGGCGCTCTCGCAAGCGACGCTTGCCCTGGGAAAGCGGCGGGCTTTGGCCACTGCCGGCCTTCCCCCGCAGTGCCCGGGCTGGCCCAGCGCCTGGCAAAACCTCGTAGGGAAAAGGCAAGCAACACCTGCGGTGGTTCTGCCCTTTCTTTAGCCAGGGACTGGAACACAGACAAAATCAAGGGGCTCTTTGACCTGGGCAGGCTCCCAGCATTTTTCAGCCTTCCTTAGCAGGGCATTCTCACCCTCTGAAAAGCTGAAAGGCTTTAACAGCTGGAGACGCGCCTGCAGCTGTGCAGATTAATGTAGTTTCTTTGAGGAAACGAAGGGGAGGTTTTCCTGTTGTGAGCCTAAATACCGAGTCTACTCTGCTTTTTCAATCAGGTGACGAAGCTTATGGAAAAAAGACCAAAGGCCTCGAGGTGAGCACATTCTACCGAGTTCTGCTTTTCTGGGATCGGTTTGGGAAAATCACGTGAAATTCTAAAAAGCTTCTCTCCGTGTTTTCTAGTTGTTTTTTCAGCCTTGGTCTAAGTTTCATGTAGAAAAGGGCATAGAATTATTAGAACAGACCAACTAGACTTTCTCGGGAGAGATGGAAGAAAAGGCTGCTGATTGCAGTTCTGCTTTTCTTGTCTTCCCTTCGACCGTCATTTTCTCTCCCCTGCTGTTCAAATAGGCAGCAATTAATTGCTCTGCTGAAGAGTTTGCTGTACTAAGTGTCTGTCAAATTGATGCCTTCAACTCAAGATAGCACCTGCTCCTTAGTTACAAAAAGTTCCTCACAGGAAATTTTCAGGCGTGCCCATAAATCTCCTGGCTGTTTGTTTGGGAGAACAGGGGTTTCTCGTCTGTAACAGAACAGTCGTGGCATTTGCTATGGAATGCTGGTGGCAATCTAGTCAGAAGAGGACCCCGTGCTTCACTAATTTTGCCTTTTTGTTGTTCAGGGTGACTTCTTCCCAGGGATGTTATTCTTGACACCCCGGGGCAAATGGAGGTATTCACCTGGTCAGCGTCAGGAGCCATCCTAACTGAAGCCTCGGTGAGTGCTTTTTGTGTGACTGGACAGTGAAGCTGTGGGAATGACCTGGCTAGTGCTCGGTGTACTCCTAATTAAAGTGTCTTTTACTCCGTGTTCCCAGGCTCCCTCCTTCCCTTCGGTGGCCGTGGGTGTGCCGGACGCCTCTGGCAGGGCTAACCCCGTGGCTTTTCTGTCCAACGTGCTGTGCTGTGTGTGCCTGCAGGTAAGAAAAGCTGGGAGCGCAGTCCTTCTGCTTTGCTTGCTGTGTCTCTTGGGGAGTGATTTTGGAGGGGAATCCCAGAGCGATTTGGTTTGAAGGGGACCTTCAAAGGCCAGCCTGCCTTCCGTGGGCAGGGACACATTCCGCTCTCATCCCCGGCTGGATGCTCCCAGTCCCATCCAGCCTGGCCTGGAACACTTGCAGGGATGGGGCAGGCTCAGCTTCCCTGGGCAGTGTGCTCTAATGTCTCTCCACTGGCATCCTGAAAAATGTTGTCAGCGTGTTTTGTTGGACGATGGTAAGCAGGACCCGGGTGAAGAGGACATTCTGTTAGGTGCAGAGGGAAATAATTCTCCTTTGAAGCCAAATGTATTCAGATTTGCACGAGTCTTGTCTGCCTTATGTTTGAATTGCTTTCTATTCTAGGCAGTTGTTTTAAATTAAACTTTTATTTTGTGTCTCCCCCCCAGTATCCTGTCCAAGACAAAGCTACCTTTCCTCGTGGGAATGGACCGGCCGGGCTTTGGCAATCTGGTCCCTCGAAAGCCTTAAGTGACCTCTTCCAACAGGGGAAGACTGAAGCAAGCGGTGCCAGAAAGAACTGGAGATTCTGGAGAATAAAAGCTGGAAGCGTGCCCCCAAAAATCCCCCCGGCTGGTCAGTGGTCTGACTTGCACGGACCGGTGGCCTTGGCCAGGAGCGGTCCTGCGGGAAGCGCCTTTGCCCAGGCTGTAATTTTAATTTCCATTGGATGCTTGGCAAAGCCCCCCTGGGTGAGCCCCAGTGCCTGGCATGAGCGGAGCGGGCTTCCAGGGAGGTACTCACCTCGTCAGCGTCAGGAGCCATCCTAACTGAGGCCTCGGTGAGTGCTTTTTGTGTGACTGGCCGGTGAAGCTGTCTGTGGGAATGACCTGGCTATTGCTCAGTGTAGTCCTAATTAAGGTGTCTTTTACTCCGTGTTCCCAGGCTCCCTGTTTTCCTTCGGTCGCCGTGGGTGTGCCGGACGCCTCTGGCAGGGCTAACCCTGTGGCTTTTCTGTCCAACGTGCTGTGCTGTGTGTGCCTGCAGGTAAGAAAAGCGGGGAGTGCTGCAGTCCCTCTGCTTTGCTTGCTGTGTCTCTTGGGGAGTGATTTTGGAGGGGAATCCCAGAGCGATTTGGTTTGAAGGGGACCTTCAAAGGCCAGCCTGTCTTCCGTGGGCAGGGACACCTTCCACTGTCCCCGGTTGCTGCGAGTCCCGTCCAGCCCGGCCTGGAACACTTGCAGGGATGGGGCAGGCTCAGCTTCCCTGGGCAGCGTGCTCTAATATCTCTCCGCTGGCATCCTGAAAAATGTTGTCAGCGTGTTTTGTTGGACGACGGCGAGCAGGACCCGGGTGAAAAGGACATTCTCTGAGGTGCTGGGAGAAGGAGGACTCGTGCGGGCACCCCCAGAGACAGCGGGAACGGGAGCGTGCTGCGGAGAAGGAAAATTCCAGGGGGTGGGTGCCGAGAAATTTGTCCTTCCCTCGCCCTGTGCTCTGCACTGAGCAATGGGTCAAGTGCAGAAGTTTCCTGGGGACCCTGGGAAATGATGCCGGGTCTGCTAAGAAAAGTGGGGCCAAAGGAGCAGGACCTGGGTCTGCGAGCGTGGGAGAAACAAGGGCCGGGTCATCCTCTGCCTCCGGGAGGGAGGGCAGCAGGAAAGGCCCCGGACTAAAGCACTGAAGTGCCGTTCCCCAGGGAGCCCCTGCCCAGCACTGAACTTGCTTGTGCACTTGCTGTCCCTTTCCCAGCGGAGCCGAAGCGTCGGGTGCGGGTGCCGGGGGCATGGAGCTGCCAAGGACAAACTGGGAGGGGGTTTGCGAGGGAAGGGGGGAGAAGGAGCTCTTGACGTGCTTTTTTTCCTTCTTCATCCCACATAATTGCCACGGGAGGAAATACTTCAGAGGGGCTTCCC